GAAAAATCCAGTTGGGGCAGCAGTAGATGCTTGTTGTTGAACCACTTGTGAAATTTGAGTTTCAAGCATCTTATTATGGGTAGCTAAAGCGTTAACTTTACTAGATAATTGTTTAATATGCTCATTAGTGTGTAAATTTTGATTCAGAACATCTTTATTAGTTTGAGATTGGGAAGAAATGAAATGTTCTATCATGATTTATAGATTGGACTTCCTAGGGGCATTGGATGTATTAGGTCCGTTATTGGGGTGATTTGGGGCAGCTTTTGGATAGCCAGGTGGTGTGGCAGGAGCTTGTCCAGGTGCGTATAACGCGTTGTTGCTTTTATATGAAAAGTTCGGATGTTTCTTCCAACCAGGGTTATAGGTATTGCTATAAGGGTTTCCCTGCACGTAATTTGCTTGTTCAGCTGGAACTCTTGTTAGAAGTGGGCATTCTGGAGCAGGATGTGATTGAAGACCACATAGATCGCAAGCTTGAGCTACTGCAGCTACGGTAGCTGCGTGAGCAGTGGTAATATTTTCTAGCTTTTGGGTAAGGGCTTCTACTTTAGCGTTAACTTGATCCATACTATTCACTTCAATCATGCCACCTTTTGTTTGGGTTTTTTCCATATTAGCTCTTTCGCTTCCCCATTGATAATGGTTTTGAGTCATGCTTTCGATAAGTTGATTTGCCTCGGTATACAGCTTATCCATCAATGCGCCACCACCAGCAGCGTCTATAGTCATTCTTGTGTTGTACAAGAGACCGTTATAGAACGTATGAATGATCAGCCATTCTTCTAAACCATGATAAGGACAAAGTCTGATCATGTCCTTGTAGCGTTCCCACGCTTCGAAAAGCGATTCGTTATCTTTTTGTCTGAAACCATTGATGTTGGTTCTAAGCATAACAGTTTTGCTTGGTGGGAAATATCTAGCTAAAAAGACTTTTTTCAACTCATCCCATGTGGTGATTGAGTTTGAAGGAAGAGATTGGAGTCATGCTCGAGCTCTGTCTCTTAAAGAAAAGGGAAATAGGCGCAATCGTATCGCCTCGGGGTTTACACCATTCGCTTTTATAGTGTCTGCATACTGCACAAACACTGATAGATGTAGGTTCAGGTCGTCAGTAGGAGATCCAGAAAATTGGTTCTGCTGAACGACAGATAGAAGCAAAGGTTTTAGCTCGAAATCATTTCGAGCGATAGCAGGAGCGACAATGCTGTTGTGGGGCTCCGCTTGAGAAGGAACTGCGTAATCCTTAAGAGCACGAGGTGGATTTGGTACGTCAGCCATCTTAGATTCTTCAATTAATTCAGGAATTGAGATATCAGGGAGCTTAGTCGGAGGAAGATTATTGAGATCACGGTATTCTTGAACTCGGCGTCTTACTCTGAGATAGCGCTCGATATCGTTGATTTGTAAATGCAAAGGCTCGCTTTGGGAGAGAGTATTTGGCATACAACGGAGGGAAAAATAAATAGTTTCCTTAGTCTATACAATACTACTTTATGAGTGCACTAGTGACTAAATCAAAATCCCCGGCAACAGCGCCAAAAACTTGATGTGCGATCGACCTAATGTGTCTAACGGTATCTTAACTGCAAGTGCACAGCCTATCGCGGTAGTAATAAAAAGATGTCGAACCCACAGGAACTTTGTAATCACTCTAGTGATATAAAAGTTTGCTAGTTTAGCTAAGGCGGATGTTGTCACGTTTGGTTTTTAGAGGTTAAGGTAAGGGAAAAATAAATTGAATTAAGGGAATAATAATAATAAAACGGTCGGTATGTAATGTAGTGAACCTAAGTGGATCTAATCGAACCCAAGCATATAAAGATGTTTAACTTAGATGGTTCTGTAGAAATTATCAGTTTAAAAACCCTCAACTCACACTCTCGTGGTCTTATCTCGGATTATACCCCTAAAGCCCTATGCCTGCTCTCGCTAGCCCATAAGTGTTTAGAAAATACTTTTTGAAAACTTAATAAAATCTAATTCGTTTTAAAGCGCTCTCGCTGTATTTAAATCAAATGCCTAACTTTAGTTATCCGGTTAAAACCTCACACTCTCGTGGTCTTGATCCTAACCTATTCTACTCTTTTTACTCTCGTAACAGAAAGATTGGTTTTAATTATAAAAAGTCACAGCCAGAAATTAAGTTAATTTAGATTTTAGCTTAGGCACAATTTAATCCATTCGGTTACTATTATTACATCCCGGCTCTAGAAAATTAGCTAGTCATAGTACTCAAAATAGACATACAGAAAATATAATCGGGAAAGAATAAAACATTCATGATAAAATAATAAATAAATGAATGTAAACAAATTATATTAAAATTAAATGCGATTAAAAACTTGAATAACAATATTATTCCTCAAGCTCCCTCTTCCACAAGTCGGCAAGATTGGAACTTCGAAATCGGAACTTGAAACAAATTCTGAGGCTAAAAATAAATTCTGACTACAATAACAATTTCCTAATGTTGGAAATAGTTATTAATTGGTAAAAGGGAAAATAAAGCAAGAACAAAAAAATTGCAGTTATTAAATTTGGCAGGGCTTCCGCAAGAAAATTATGTAGCCAAAAACTCTCTGCTGGTCCATTAAAATATCTCCTATTTATAGAAGAGGATTTTTGCAGTTAAGAAAATTTAGGAACGTGGACTTGCACTGCTTGAGTGGAGGAAGACTCGGACTGTTCGTTGCTGAAGTTGAGAAATTGTAGAAGTTGAAAAGATCCATTACGTTGCCCACGTCTTCTGTTTTGCATGACATTGAATTACGCGTGTGACGGTCGTCATGAGGAGGTGACGGTCGTAATGCGCTTAAATAGCGCGTTACGTTCGTCAATGATGTGTGACGAGCGTTCTTATAGGATGTGAGCGCGTTACGCTCGTAACGGAGGTGTGACGGCCGTCACAACATCAAACTTTGCAGATTTTGCAGATTAGTTCTTTTTCTTCTGATTTTTTGGTTAGCTTTCTTCATGTGATCCTTTTTCACTAATTTGATTTGAAACATGTTGTACCTGTAAAAATACATAAAAACTCGGAACAATCGGGAGTTAAATGAGTTAATGCATTATGAAAATCGATTAAAAATATAGCAATTATATGATACGATTTCTCGTTATCACAAACTAAACAAGACCAATAAGCACAATGGAATTTATGGTGTACTTTATTTCACTTAAGTGTATCGTATCTTACGGTATTCCATATTTAAATTAAGTACATTGTACCTTACAATGTTCCTTATTTAACTTAAGTGCATTGTATCTTATGGTATTCCATATTATCGTAACTTATGGTGTACCATGTTTCTCTAATTAACGCTAGTGCATTGCAAGATCGCACAATTAGAAAAGCTTCACTTATTTATTTTCTCACATCAATCAGTCCTTATGTGTAGGTTCTTGTGACGTTGACAATTATATCAAATCACACATTTAATATAATAAATAGTGAGTGGTATCTAGAAACATATCACTGCTTACTAAGTCACGAAAATATCATGTGAATTGACACAAAAAAATTCGTGACAATGTTTATGTGTAGAATTACACCTTTCTCTCATGTATATATTGAACACAATGCATAGATTGTATCACCCTTGTCTACTTCAATATTTGACTCTTAGATATTTATCATGTTATGCAGGATGGGAAAATTTCTTATAGGCCACTCATGTCCCTCAACATGATTTTTGGAGTACCCGTCAACTATCTTTATGGTCATTTTGTTATGGACAATGTTTGATCTGCAATGAAGTACTTGACTCAAAATCTAGGATCCATAATGATTTTAGGTCGAAGAGAGGTAGGTATACACCACTATCATCTCGAGAATAACTTATCACACTTACATAATATTCTACGTAGTATTCTCATGGTGGGTCAATCTAGTATAAATATTACTCCTAATATTTATACCTATAATCTATGATCTGTGATATGTGATCTCTGGGGTGTGATCTCTGGGGTGTGATCATCAGTTTATTCATATAATAGTCTCAATACTTTAACGTTATCCCACTTCACAATAAAATTTGACTACGAGTACTTTAAGAATAATGTCCTTACTAAGTTCAAATAAAACTATCAGCTTTGGATTGGTTGAGATTGAATTTAGACCTTCACTTGATTCAACATAATAGATTGATCGATGTAAATTTGATGAATAACAGGAGCATGAGCATCACAATGAAGCGTAGAAAAAAAGGATTGATGATGAACACAAGAAAAGAAGAAATTAAGAACAATGTGCTTTTGATGAATAAGTCAAGAAAGATCAGAAAACATAGTTGTTGAATTCGCAAATGATGAGGATGAAACAGAAAAACTCAGCAGAAAATTAAGAATGAAGTGAAAAACTCTAATCACCATTTCATGGTGAGTGATACCATATTATAAAACTTGGAAAAACAGTTAGAAAATGGAAACTTCATTAACTCAAAGAGGATAGTGATACTTATATCACAAGTTAGTGAGCACACTTAGAACTATAGTCTAGCACCTATCATAGCACAACTTACAACTAGTTCTCAACTGTCATAAAAAACTAAAAACACTTAGTTTCATAGTTAGAACAAGTTAGTTATGCTTCTAATGTTATTCCTTGGTTCGCAAGCTCTCTCTCTCTATGGTTACTTGCATATGAAGCAATTATCCTATCTTGTAACACATTTCTTTGTAAGGAAAACTCAAATTTTAATTGGTAAAGAGAAACAATTCTCTGAATTAATAGCATTGGCCATTCTAAAATAGTTATCTCTCCTTCCAAAATTATAAGTCAATTTGCAAAAACCAATAGGTTAATACAACAATTTTTCCCATTCATCCAACATTTTCCTACAACAAATAATATATATCATAGTACATATAATAGCATTTATTTATATTGTAAAGGGTATCTCAACAACTAGATACAATTCGAAAAACTCTTCACCTACAAAAAAAAATACTCAAACGTTCACATAAAAACAAAACATATTGTGTTTCAATGATTTTTTTCATACATGAGAAGTCTTGGATGCTTTGAAACGAGCCGTGAACCCGAATGTTGCATGTTGTATTGATCGCTGTCGTACAATATCAACATATTCTGGACCAGTTGCATGTCCGTCACTGCACATCCACTTTATCATTTGATGATAGATAGGAAAGAACCGCATTTGGATTGAAGCGTATACAAGATATGGAAGGAGTGAAGCAACGAGAACAAGGAGAGTGATGAGCCAATAAGATGGTGCAGGTGCACAAGCTTCAATTAGGACTTTATAAGCAGTGGTTGATAAAGAAGGGTTAATAGTTCCATATGTTAAGAGGAAAATATACCAAAAAAGAATGCCACCCCAAATGAATATATGTTGTATGTAAGTGAAGTAAGTTATGGATAATGCCATTTGAAAATTTACCACACAAACAACACAAGTGTACATGGTTGCACCAAGAACTTCAAGTCCAACTACTTCACCTCCTTTTCGGAATGCTTGATTCTCAATTGCATTAATGCAAAAGAAAAAGATTATGGTTGCACTCATCACTCCATTGAATGTCCAGCCTAGAATCCTTTTCCAGCTAAAGAGAACATTTTGTACACCTTCTTGATATAATAATGGGAACTGAAAAATGAATACAGAATGAAAGATGCCACGAGATTAAGATAATCGAGTGGAGTGAAAATAAAGGATCAAAATTGTGATTAAAAGGGATACCTTAAGGCATAATCTAGCAGAGACATCTTGGTCAAATACTCCCAAGGCAATTACAGGAAGGGAAGTGAAGAATACATTATATAGTGACAGGAACCAATCATTGTATGCAACTTGCCCGGAGAATGAAGCATAGATCTCATACAAGAAAAGAGTAAAGCCAAAGGCAATATTCTTGTAAAAGAAGTAACAAATCTGCGGAATAGAAAAGAGTTTAACGGAATGTGCACTGAGAGTAACATAAAAGAAGAATCGCAGGTTTAACTTCAATTGTGACACAAAAGTATTTGTCATATGGAGAAGCTGGTTTTCTAATGTAATATTTTTAAAAACTAAGATTGTTTCATTACCATTAATGAGATTCTTCTGTAACACCAATGTCCATGCACGAGAAGTAAACGCTCTAGATAACGGAATTGAGCAATTGCAATATCACTAGACATAACTGCCTGCATTCCTTCAACACCACTTATACCAATCCCAATATCTGCTTCTTGGAGCATTCCAACATCATTTGCACCATCACCAATTGCAAGAGTAGTACAACCTGTTTTAATCTTTACTAATCTAGTAACCTGCATCATTGTAATAGAAAGAAACATGTTCAAATCACCATAATAGGAAGAAACAAAGGGAACGAACACATATAAAGTCACAAGGAAAGTATACAAGTGCTTTTTGCTTCGGAGAAGAACGACAGCATATAACAGATGCGCAACCAACTGCAAGTGCGAGAAACAAGTCCTGTACATCATCTTCTAGTGCATATGTCAGAGACTTCCCATCAATTATCAGAGAAAATGCCTCGGAGTTTTCAATTGATACACCGAGTAATTCCTTTCCTTCCATTAATTGACAAAGAACACTTTTCTTAATTGCCTGCAGAATCAATTAACTTCCATCACAATCACACATCCAATAGGCCAAAGCTCCATGGGAAAACAATCACTATATTTATGGTCATATGATTTAGTCAAGTGCTCTATTATATACCACATAAGCATCAGACTTGTTTTCCATTTTCTCAAGTGATTTGGTTTCTGGAGTGTCTGAACTAATGATAATTTGTTTCATTCCTTGCCGAAGTAAACTACAAGCAAACCTGTGGCCACGCAGAAATTATCAAATCAATGACTTCATATTATTATCACAAAAAATTTCAAAAACTATTCATAAGTTTGAACTTACCCGACATTGATTGCTGTCTCCATTTTATCACCAGTCAAAATCCATAACTTTATTCCTGCCTGTGCTAGCTTGTCAATACATTCAGGAACCTATATGTCAAAAAGAGATTGAAAAGTGTTAAATGGACTTGGATCAAAAACATTAAAAGCAGTGCTAGTTTCCCTGTAGAGACAGAAAGAAAATCACTCGTTGTAACATACCCCGTTTTGAAGTTTGTCTTCAACTGCAGTAGCACCCAGAAGAATTAAATCCTTTTCAATCTTTTCCAATGCGTCCTCCACAATCTGCTCCCGGTCTGCACTTACTAAGCTCTTGGCTTCCATCAATTCTTTATTAAAAAGAGTGTACTCTTCTTCATCAAGTTCGCGATAGGCCAATATCAAGGTCCTCAAACCAGCATCTGCATATTCCTTAATGTGCTGCTTAGTCTTTTTCTCAAACTCCCTTCCATTTTTCGCAAGTCGTTCAAACATGACACTGATGTTGAATATTATCAACAGCCGAAGCTGATATGAAATGATAATCATGAAGTCTATTTAAGATTGCCATGGTGATAAATAATGAACAAAATTAAAAACCTGTCAGCGCCTTTGCTAAGAAGCAGTAGTTTCTCTTCCTCATCTCTTACTATAACAGACATTCGTTTTCTTGAACTACTAAACTCTAATATATTTAAAAGTTTGTAGGACCTGCAAAAATTACACATATTCACCTTTCGATGCTAAGAAAGGCTAAAATATAGAAAATCCAAGATTCATATATATATAAGATCACAAACCAAACCTTCTAATGTTCCTGCCTGATATCGAATCAAACTCGCGCAGCGAAATAGTTGTTTGAGTCCTTTCATTAAACTCAAATCCAAGCTCTTTAGCTGCAATTACAAAAGCTGCCTCATCAGGTGATTCAGCTTCATATGAAACTTTGCCATTTTCTTCATCAACTTCAGGTATTGCAGTATGGCATACCGCCAACAAGCGCAAGAAGTTCTGGATTACATTGGCGTAAGGTTCATTGACCCAATTTCCATTCATAATCCTTTCATCCATGAAGTTAAAACCTTTAATGGATGGATTTGCTTCAGAAATCTCAGTAATATTTCCATCTTCTGTCAACTCTTGACTTAATGGCAATCCTTTTCTCCTTGCTAGAGGTCTCTCCACATGTCCATATGCAATCCCAGCGATCGAACACTTGACAAATTCCATGTAATTGCAAGTCAAAGTTCCTGTTTTATCCGAAAGAATAGTATCAACTTGGCCAAGTTCTTCATTTAAATTCGAGGTACGAGCATGTGCAGGCTGGTTAGTTTCCTCGTAATACATGTGTATATCGTGGTTGACAAACATGCTTTGAAGTACTTTCACAATTTCAATGGAGACATACAAAGAAATTGGAATCAAGTAACTATACAACATTAGTGCTGTCAAGAAATGCAGCATTGCTGCAACCGGCGCTTTCTTTGGATCGTAGTAGATTGTAGTATCATCCGGTCTTAGGTACCATCTCTTCATTACTCCATTTTTAAGATCTTCACTTGTCGCAATGCCAAAGAAAACTGAACCGATAAAAGAAATAAAAAACAAAACTAAGAACAGAAAGTAGATTATCTTATCCATTTGCTTCTCAACTTTGCTTCTCTTCGAAGGAGGGTCCATGGAGTTCTGCATAACCTTCGTATCATGGCCGGTAAAGATTACTGCACCGTATATAAAATCCGTATTCCTAAGCTTTGAGTCCCTAAGCAGTAACTGCTGAGGTGCAAGCGGATATAGTTGATCTTCAAGCTTTATATTGCCTATGAATGAGTAAAGATATGCATTTGGATCCTCACATTTGATAATAGCTTTGAAATTTTGGAATGTAGAGTCTTCTTGAAACTTGGAAGTTTCTTCCAGTGCTTGTTTGAGTTTAAGATTTGTTTCTCCATCAAGATTCATGGTCTCAACATAGCAGATAGCATCTTCATAGCTTGATGATAGTAGGATAAGATCAGCAGGGAAAAATTCATCTTTCTCTACTTTCACTATGTCTCCAACCTTCAAATCACGCCATTTAGAGTAGTCGAAAACACCCTCTCCATTATGGATTTTAACCTTTCTGTTATTCATCTCAATGTCCTGATGTAATTAATCATAACTTCATAAGATAATATGCATGCCATTGCCAGCTGAATAACAAAATTGCAAAAATATCTAGATTCAAAACTTCTTCCACCTACAATATTCAATTTTCACAAAGTTGAGGAGAGAAAAGCATAAACAATAATTGAACAACATTGATTACCTGCTTAAATCTTCTCCAATCCTCAACAGCCTCTTTCCCAATTGTAACAGCAACGACAACGACAAGAGGAACAACATTGCTAAGAGCTGAGTAAGGAGAGACAGGAAAAAAAGACAAGATTGCACAAACAAGGAAGTAAAAATTGGCAACCCTTCTAAATTGCTCAAACAAGGATTTAGGAATGAAAGTGAAGGCTGTATATTTAGTAGTTCTGACATAATTGTCACCATAATTCACAATGTCACTACCACTTTCTGGTTCTTTGCAGTAAACTATTGTTGAGAAACCCGGTCCTCCTATAAGTGAATGTTCACCTTTGAATGAAGCCTTCCCAATTGAGAATGCATGGATTCTGCTTAACTGCTTCCTCTTTCTTCTACTTCTACAACCACCCACCATCTTCTAACTGCTTACCCCAAAAGCACTTTTTTCACTCTTAAAGCTACCAAATTTCTATATGATAAACTAGGCCATTAACATTGGCAAGTGAAAAGAGTGTTTTAAGCAAGTTTTGAACTTGTGATCACAAGACAGCAATCTTAACGTTTGTAACCAAAAGTTGTGGAACATTCTATGTGTACACATTTGTCTTTTGTTGGGTTAGAATTTAGAAGGTGAAATCTGATAGGTTTGGCAGTTTGACTAGTAGTTGTGAAGAAATGAAAAGACTTTAAAGGTGCACATGGTCATGGAAATTGAGATAGCAACTTCAATCAATATCTTATACTATCATATTATGAATTTTATATTTTTTACTATTTCACATAATGTACTCACTCCCCTTAATTCTAAATTGTATTATGGTTAATGTTAACTTATTAATATGAGACCCTTAGGAACTTACTTGAGTCTGAGCTTACTCTTCGAGACCATTTGTTGGTAGAATCACATTTTATAGTCAACAAATTGCCACACTCGATAGTATTAGATTATAAATAGTTTATTTTGAATTGTAGGATTTGGACGTGGTTGTGCAATGTTAGAATGGTTAGCCCTACTTGAAGGAGAAATAAAATTATTCTAACCAAAATAATGATTTGAATAAGAATGGTTAAAAGGTTAACATGCCTCATAACAAAGATCAAGTACCCTAAGTAGAGTTTTCTTCGAATCTAATACTTGGTCAGATTAACATTGATATTAATCAAATAGTTCACCAAGACAAAAAATAAACACATTTATGCCTCTTCATGGCCTATCTCTAGGGTTTCTATTATCTATACAAGGAGTTCAAGTAATGTGTGACATAGCAAATATAAGGCGTTCAAATAATGTCTGACATAACACATAGTTTTTCTGACTAAGAAGAAGAAGAAGAATATTTTAAAGGGTGTCATTTGAATCGGGAGTTGTCCTAAAAGTTTATGATATTTTTTTGACAGGCCAATCGATTAACACTTATACTCAATAGATTGAGATAGTGCAAAAATATGTCCTAAACATTTAGGATATTGTCTTAATGATAGGTGTGATACGGTGGGAGAACTGACTAGTGTTTTGCGTTCGTATTCGCACTTGTGCGGTTAGCAAGAGTCGTCACCGACTTTTTATTTTATCCTAAAGGAAAGGTTAAAAAAGCACAGCAAAAACCTTTTGAGATGTTTCGTGGGTTCGGGGGGTAGATTATGAAAAGGGAAGGTGTTAGCACCCTTTTCATCCATGGTTATCCATGGGCTCTTAGTTACTTGGTTTTTAGATCACTTGCCTTGTTTTTCGATTGCTTTGAAAATGGTGTGTGTGTGGGTGCTTTTTGAAAATGTTTTGGAAAAAGATGCCTTGTCTTAGGCAACTAATGTATTTGACTCGTGTTTGAGTGTTTTACAAAAGTGTGAATCTTTTCGAAAAGATGTTTTCAAATGTTTTTAAGAGTTTGTTTGAAAGTGTTGTGGATTGTGTTTTTTGAAAAGAAGGCAAGTGTTTTTGCAAGTTTGATCTCAAGTAACTAAGAGTTTTGTCTACCCTATTGTACTCAAAGGTTTTTGTCATGTTTTAACCCCTTTTAACAATTTTGTTCCACCATTGAAATTGATGGACAATCTTGTGTTTAGGAAGTTTATTCGGGACGGGCGTGGGTCATCGTATGGACCATGAATGCAATGATGCCAAGTGTCTTTGGCAATTTGTTTTGAAGGGACTATGATCATTCCGTTTAGGCAACATTCGAAAGCGTCATCGAGGGACTTATGATCATTCGATTTTGTTTTGCCAAAGATACTCGACGTGCAAGCATGGCCCATTTTGGAAGGCAACATGTGGGATTACCCTAGGGGGTGCAAGTGTGATTGTGTATTGATTACATGTATTTGTCTTGTATTAGGTTATCTAGCGTTTGATTTTATGTACATACAAACCCTAGGTCTAACCATGGTATAATTGAAAAGCTGTAAATTGCGGAATGTAAATCTACGCTATTACAAAATAATATCCGGGAGTGGGGGTATAAATGTACAAGGGGATGAGACTTATTTACAACCAAATCGAATGTCACAATCAAAATGTAAATATCGAACGTACAAATATAAGATAAAATGTGTATAGGGCAATATATTGTGTAAGTGTAAATGTGAGATGTACATGTATATGAATTGTGTAATTATGTAACAAGTGCGAAATGTGAAATTGAGTCGCATTAGGGTTTGACTTAGATATACGTTTTAATCTGTATTTTTGATTTATATGTTGAATTATGTACAAAAGAAAAGAAGTGTTTTGATTAAATGTTAAGTTTTAATTAAAAAGTATTTTAGTCAAATGCTTGTGAATTTCAATATTAAAAGATGTATTGAATTATTATGTACAAAAAAGAATGTTAATAAAAAAAAGTTTAATTTTAATTATGTATGAAAATGTATAATGTGTACAAATATGCATTTTAATTAAAAAAAGTATTTTCAATTTAATTATGTATATATAAAAAAAGAAAAGATAATATATACAAATTAATGTTTTAAAATGTATGTACAAAAAGTATTATGTCCAAAATTGAATTATGGGTGTTAAGAAAGATATTTTATTTTTATGTACAAATCTCTATCTAAAAAGATGTTTTAATCATATGATAATAATAAAAAAAAATGTTTTAATTAGGTTAGCATTATAAAATGTTTTAGTTAAATTGTAAATAAAAAAGAAAGTATTTGCATTAAAATGATTTTTTTTTTGTAAAGCAAATGAAATGTTTTCATAAAAATATTAAAGGGTTAGTATTAATATATAAAAGAAGAATAGATTAAATGAATATTGTTGATGAAAATGAAAAGAGGTTAATGTTGGGCTTTGGGGTAATCAGGAAACGGGTCAGGCCCTTTGTCAAGTTTGAAATGAAATTAGGGTTAGGCGTTTGGCAGTTCAGAACAAGGGCTAGGGTTAATCAGCGGCGGCGCGTTCGTGGTATTCGTCTTCTCCGATCAAACTTCACTTCCCTGAACGCTGAATGTGATGCCTAGTGATGCCGAGCCAACCCAACGCCACCTCCGGTTCCTCTCATCTCCGCGATTGGACTAAACCTAAACGAACAGGGTAACGATCTCACCTTCTCTATCTTAGAATTTTCACTCTTCTTCTTGCTTAGTCTGAGTTATAATCTTACTCGTTATTATCGTTTGTTTTTCTTTTCTTGAGATTGAGAAGGGGACGAAAAGCTACCTTAATTTTGGGAGATGGAGGAAAGGGAACCGGAACTGGAGGCGTTGAGGAGGCCGGAGCGGCGTGAGGAACTTTGAGCTTGCTTTGCTTTCGACGCTTTCTGGTATTTTCGCTCTTGTTGCTTATGATTAAGGTTTTGATGATGATACGCACTGAGAAACCCTAATTCCTCACTTCTTTACCTCTTGTCCCTTTGCTACTGTTGAAACAATTTTTTTGACTAGTTTTCTTCTTCTCTACTGCTTGCGTTGCCTTGGGAATTCTGTATGTTGCCTTGGCCTATGATGAAGCTTGCTTCTGAGGCTCCCTGAGTTGCTGTATGCCTTTTGCTTTGAATGGTTGAATGCTTTTTTGAACGATTTTGAACAGTTATTGCCTTGAAACGGTGGATGCTATGTATTTTTGAGATTTAATGCCCAATGATGATTGTACTGAGGGCTTAGGGATTGGTTTCGTGTTTTTTGAGGCTAATATTGGTACAGCGGCTTTGCTTATGTTAGGTTGTTTTACTTGACAAGGTTGGAGGTTGGTGTTGACAGTAACTTAGCATGGTTCAGTTTGACAGCATAGTGGTTTGTTCATACGTTTAGTTTATGTGTTTGTGAGGTCATGACAGGCTTGTTATGTGAGTTTTGTTGCTTATGTGGTTTAGGCAAGCATGAGGTATGACAGGGTGTTGGTTTGTATATTGATGCAGATTTTTTTGGTTGGCCTTGACAGTAGTGGTTTGGTTATGACAGTGGGGTTTGGGACAGTTTTTTTTGATAGGGAGTTTTGGCTTTGTGACTTTTGCTCAATTGAGTTTTGGTCTCTCTCTTCTCTTCTCCCCTTTTTACTTGCTTTGTATTGGCTTCCTATTTGTATTGAGGCAGAGTTGAGTACTTGATGCAGGTTTCTTGCTTTTGACAGTAATAAGCTGTCTTGACTTGTTCAGTTTTTGTATATTTCTCTCTTGCTATGCTGAACTGTTTTGTATATTTTCTATCTTTTCTATCTCCTCACCCCCTTTTTTTTGAACTGCTATGCTGAACTGTTTTATATATTTTCTATCTTTTCTATCTCCTCACCCCCTTTTTTTTGAACTGCTATGCTGAACTGTTTTATATATTTTCTATCTTTTCTTTTGGCGCCCAATCTTTATTCAAAACTTTGGTCTTCTCTTTGACCCAAGTTTGCTGGATAGTTTCACAAGGTTTCTTGGCATTTTTCCCATTTCGGTAACTGGCTATGCTGTGTAATTTTTTTGAACAATGCTGAATTATCCTCTTTTTTGTATATCTTTTCTGCCTTGCTTCTACTGTCTATGCCTGCTGAACCTGAACTAGGCTTGCTTTATCTCTCTTTTTTCTCACTTCATAGTACAATAAAGAATTTTATATGTTATTATTGTACTATGTTCTGAAGGGGCTATATTTATACTGGGAAATGATGATTAGCTTGCATAATATGTTTTCTGCATTTCTTCTTCAGCTTTTGTGCTTTGCTCTTTTCCTTGATATCTTGGCAAAAGTCCCTTTTTGACAGCTTGTAGGCTTTGATAGCAACTTGTACTATTTTGATTTCTTTGATACCTTTGGCATTCTGACAGCTAGTGCCTTTGCTTTTGGATAGAAAGTTTGGATTTGAACTTTTCAGTTTGGATTTGAACTATATGGTTTTGAATTGGAAATTGAGATTCTTATGTAGCTTGAATTTTATAACTTATGCATTTGCATTTCATGAAATGAAAATCTTCCCTCTCTGTGAACCGGGAG